ATTGTACAGTGGCATTACGTGCCGGAAATTGTACCTCTGCCTAGCCCTTCGGGGATAAAAAGGCGTGATGTTATGTATGTATAATAAACTTATTCGAACGACGTAACTCTCATATATTTCTGAAAAATAGAATACCTACTAGATTAATATCTCACATTTCATTATTTTTCATCTGTCTTTATGCAGAAATATTATTTTGTTTACATTCTTTGTCATTCAACCTACCTGTTATTATCTCCGCATAAATATTTTAATTTCATATTATTTATCAGTTTGTCTTACTATCAATGGAAAGAAGATAATATGACATTCTATTTATGAGTAATTAGTTAATTGATAAAGGTTAACAAATCGTATTAATCTACCTCTATAATTCATCAAAATTTTACATTATCACATTACGTTATCATAACTTCTGAAAATGACTATAATTACCTCTACATCATAATAATTAAATTATTGAAATATTTTGAAAAACCAAAAATTACTTTTAACTTTAACTTAATTTCATACACTCAGAAAACTGAAGTCACATAATTGTACTATTAGACACCGCGAAACTATTTCGTTTTTACAAACATTTTATTTAAAATGCTGGACGCAGCAAACTTCGAAAGCGCAGACGAACCCATTTTTTTTAAGGCTGGAAAATCATCAAATGACTGCTCCCGCCTGGGTGAGGCGGGAGGGAGTGTCAGACTCTTACTGACTAAAAACCACCCCGTTCCTTCTCCTGCACATCGAGCCGGAGCCCCGGTTAACCGTTAGGTTCTCGGCGACAGACGAACCCATAGTACATTATCAAAACCTCACGCCATGTAATTCTCGAAGAAGTATTTCTCGTCAGGTGACACGTGTGATGCGAATAGTGCCTACAAATTTACGTTTAGCATTTCGTGTGCGTATTTTCAATTTTTTCATTATATTTTCAATTTAATTTATACATCAAAAGTACCTAATCCTTTTGGTAAGTTGTTTTGCCGGCAGACGAAAACGAAATAGATTTCAAGGCGTCTAGTGCCTTTAAAAATGATAATTTATCAAAAATTGTGCGCAGAATAACCATTACAACATGTTCAAACAATGCACACCCAGGAAAAAGAAAAGTAGTACCTATTTATCCATTTTTTTTTTTCATTTTTGTTATTTATAATTAATAAATATTACAAACTCCTTCGTCATTGACTGACTGCTAAATGGCAAACTTCGAATCAGGCATATACTCTTAAGGCACACAGACGCAGCGCGGCGGGACGGGACAGCGACGCGACACTGAGCAGTGGTAATGTACTATACCTATATTACGGACGGGACGCCACATAGAGCCGTCACGCCGCGCCGCGCTGTGTGCTGAGACCTTAAGGAAGCTCAAGTGGGCAGCAGTGAGAAGACTAAGGACTAGACTAAGACTGCATCTTTATAATATAAAAAGTTGCTTAATACATACATAACAATGATGGGATGATACATACATAACAAAGGGATAGGCAGAGGTGCACATTGGGCACTTAATGCCACTGTACAGTGTAACACGCACTTATCACTGTTTATGGTATGAGTTCCGTGTAATAGGAGGTGAGTCTATTGCGGGCTACTACTGAATTATTTTTTAAAAACCCAGCAATAATTTGCACGACCTGGAAATCGAACCCTAGAGCCCTGTCTCGGGTTCGATTTTGAGCCCGGCAGTCGTTCTTGTGACCACTCGGTCAACGAGGTAGTCGTGCGTAATATTTTGCAATAATAATAGTTTTTTTTAATAGTTTTATTATTCTCCCCGGACTCGCGTCCGTACCGTTGTTATTCAATTACATTTTCTTTTTTATAGTCAATATTAATTATTACCTACAAAAATCTGATTTGCTAGATTAACCACAATTTTTTTACTGAAAGTACTTCATGCTTACTGTCTACAATATAATCATCATCAACAGCCGAAAGACGTCCACTGCTGGACAAAGGCATCCCCTTTATCTATAATATACAGATATTTTATTACATTTACATTAAGTTCAAGCCAACCAGCATGATGAGCGAGTCAACTTACTCCAGCAAAAGGCATCTGTTTACGAGCATGATGTGTGGACTAGCAATCGGTCCGATAAACCATTTCGTAGGGATCAGAGCGACCCAGCTCACAGTGCCACCGACTGTAGAACAGTTAAGAATGCATTTCAATTGAGCTAATGTATTTTGTCGGTCTTATTAATTAAATTACATTATGATACATTACCTATAGTTAAGTATTTGTTTATTGTATTTTACTAAACACACACAAATATGTATACATACACAGTGATGTCACGCTTCCATCACAATTCATGCTTATTAAACTGTCAAACACCAAGCGGTCACCGATGACCGCAACCTATTGTTCTATAATTGTGTCTATAACGACGGTACTCGACGAGTTAATTAGATTACAAATAATATTAGTTATTAATGTAGGTATATATTGTATATCACCCAGACTTAGTTTGGCCTAGCATGTAGATACAACTTGTTTTTTTTACATGAAATTATAAACGTATTGGTGACAAATCTAACGAAATATTGTCGCACACAGTGGGAAATAAACTTAATTTTTGACAAGCCATTGTCAGGAAATTCAGACTAATGTCACACTAAATTTCCGGTATTTCTGGACCGATACGACCTTCAAACCATCAAGAAAAAAAATACGTATTCCTTTTTAAAAGGCCGGCAACGCACCTGTAACTCCTCTGGTGTTGCGGGTGTCCATGGGTGGTGATGATGGCTTACCATCAGGTGATCCGTCTGCTTGTTTGCCTCCTATACCATAAAAAAAACTAAATGCCGAAAAACGTTAGTGGCTTACTTGTAAGAAATTTATCTAATCGGTCAATTGTTTAAATCTTAACACAGGTTGATGCTAATTTTATGTCCTATTTTGTAAAACATTAGAAAAGTTTGAAATGATAATAAGGCAATCGTATGTAGGTATGAGTGATAAACATGATACACAAAGTGAATAGGTAAATACTTTTATTGTGATGGTTGGTAAGGTTTTGTCATTGAAGAAAAATACGTGTTGGAAACACCCTCTATGCGAATAAGTAACTAATCAGTGATTTACTTTTGTCTTGTCAGTTTTAATGAACATTAATCCTCTGATAGAACAATCACTCCGCATGTGATTGTTATCATTATCTGCCTAAATATGTATAAATACTCTTCTCAAAATAGAAACTGCACTTCTTTACTAGAAACCACAATATGAAGGTCTTGGCTGTGACACTATTGGCTCTGGTGGCGGTCTCCTCCGCGAGGCACATCGACCTCGAGGATGTCATTGATCTAGAATCCATCACCGCTTACGATTACTTCAACAAAGTTGGAATACCCTTAGCTGAGGCTATTCGCAAAGCTGAGGAAGAAGCCGCCTTGGACCCATCTAGAATCGTTGGAGGATCTACTGCCAGACTTGGTCAATTCCCTTACCAGGTACCTAAACTATGTTTTTTGATGTTGATGTTTTTAGAGAACCCTTAACCGCGATCAAATTTTAAACCAGATTTTTTTCATAGGCTGGCCTCGTCATTGAACTGTCAGGCAGAACCGGTGTATGTGGTGGTTCTCTGCTCAACTCTCGAAGGGTACTCACTGCTGCTCACTGCTGGAACGATGGTCAAAACCAGGCCAGGAGATTCACAGTCGTTCTTGGTTCCATACAATTGTACAGTGGTGGTACCAGATTGAGCACCAGTAGCGTAGCTATGCATGGAAGCTGGAATCCCAGCCTTGTCCGTAATGATATCGCTATGATCACATTACCTTCTGCTGTTTCAACTTCTGGTGCGTATACTAATGCTAATGTAATAATACAATGCATTTGGTGGGGTTTCCTATTAGTTTCGTTATTGTTCACTTTCTAAAATTATATTCAAACAATATTCATGAAGTAAATAATTTATTAATCATAAAACATTCTAAATATTTCACCTTCTGTTAACAGGTAATATTGGTTTTATCGCACTGCCCTCTGGTAACGAGCTCAACAACCAGTTTGCCGGCGCTACTGCTACCGCATCTGGCTTCGGTCTCACCAGAGACGGTAAAGAAAATTATCAGTTTATTGCTATATTTGATCATTTTTATTATGGTATAATAAATTTGGAATATAAATTGAATTAAATATTTTTTAGGCGGAAGTGTCAGCGGTGCCTTGAGCCACGTCAACTTGCCTGTGATCACAAACGCAGTGTGCCGCAACACTTTCCCTCTCATCATTCAGTCTTCCAATGTATGCACTAGCGGAGCCAATGGTAGAAGCACTTGCCAGGGTGATTCTGGTGGTCCCCTTGTTGTCAACAGCAACAATAGACGTATCTTGGTATGTTTCAAAAAAATAATATTTTTCATCCATAGTTATTGTACAAACGTACCGCTAGTTTTCCAGCTGGTCTATGCTCACTAGTGGTGACTCTTAAAACCTATCAAATATCTTTTAAAAATTCCAGATCGGTGTGACTTCCTTCGGACATAGAGATGGTTGCCAGCGTGGACATCCAGCTGCCTTTGCCAGAGTCACATCCTACATCAGTTGGATCAACCAACGTCTTTGAACAGTGAAATAATTTCTGGAACTGTTTTACGCAATTTACGACTGCACCATGTTGAAGAATAATTAATAAAATATTCGTTTATTTTATATATTTGTTTTATTTTAATAGATTTTTGCACCTGCAATAACTCGACGAAGAGTCCAGACATTAGGAAATACAATTAATGTAAGATTCAATTGACAATTATATAGTAGTGACAAAAGTGATACAGTTTTTCTTTTTTGGATTTAATTTAGTATTGTAGGGAAAGCAAAACAAAATAAACATGTTATTCTCTGAATAGTTTAAATCAAAATGTTATAACAATGAAATTTTTAAATTATTATATTTCAAATAATTATTCTGGAAATCGCGTTAAGCAAAATGTCAGCAATTTCCACTATATCAAATTACACGAAAATGAAACAAAATTTAAAATTAATTAGTACTGTTGTCATCAATCAAGTTTAATGTTAATTGTAGTTTGTCTTGTCTTGTTTAATCTTCTTATAAAGAAATTAAATCTATTACTGATTATAATCTCAAGGGATTATTTATTTAGAACATATATAAATACTTATCCTCAGTCTAAGAGTGTATCCATTTGATTGTGAGTATCAGCAACATGAAGGTCTTGGCTGTGGCATTACTGGCTCTAGTGGCGGTGTCTACCGCTAGGCACATTATAGGCTTAGAAGAAGTAATCGATCTGGAAACTCTCTCCGCTTACGATTATTTCAACAAAGTCGGAATCCTCTTAGCTGAGGAAATTCTACAAGCTGAGATAGAAGCCGCTTCCAACCCTTCTAGAATTGTTGGAGGCTCTGCAGCCAGAGTCGGGCAATTCCCTTACCAGGTTAATATTGGTTTCTTTTCTTACATTCCACATTTCGATTATTTTAAAATGTAACAATATTAAACCTAAGCATACTTTAAGGCTGGTCTCATCATTGACCTCACGTCGGGGAGAACTGGTGTCTGCGGTGGTTCTTTGCTCAATTCACGAAGAGTCCTGACTGCTGCTCACTGCTGGAATGATGGTCAAAACCAAGCTTGGAGATTTACAGTTGTTCTTGGATCCGTTCAACTATATAGCGGTGGCACCAGGGTTGCTAGTTCAAGTGTGACTATGCATGGAAGCTGGAATCCTAGCCTCATCCGCAATGACATAGCAATGATCAATTTGCCTTCAGCTGTTTCTACATCTGGTTAGTAAATTTACAGGTGCACCTGAAAATCTTAGAATTTTTTTTCTTATTAAGCATGGTAAACTTTATATTGTCTCATATTTTTAACAGCTAATATCGGTTTCATCGCTCTGCCTTCTGGTAATGAGATCAACAACCAATTTGTCGGCGCTACTGGAACTGCATCTGGCTTCGGTATCACCAGAGATGGTAAAAAAAATAAAACATTCTATGAATAAAGTGCATAAAGTTAAACATTCTATGCCAGAGTCTTGTAGGCATATATCGAAAAGGTCATTAAATAATTATTCATTCTTTGTTTAGGTGGAAGTGTTAGTGGTGCTTTGAACCACGTAAACTTACCGGTGATTTCTAACGCTGTGTGCCGGGAGACCTTTACGATATACATTCAATCATCAAACATTTGCACTAGCGGTGCCAATGGAAGAAACATTTGCAGAGGTGACTCCGGTGGCCCTCTTGTTGTTAACAGCAACAATCGGCGAATCTTGGTATGTTAAAAGTTACTTTTAACATTACATCAGGAGCGGGAGAAACGAGTATTCATTTATTATTGTTTTCTAATTTACAGGTCGGTGTTAGTTCTTTCGTATCTGGTCGCGGTTGCCAGGCCGGTGCCCCCGGTGCTTTTGCCAGAGTCACTTCGTTTATTAGCTGGATCAACCAACGTCTTTAAACAAAAAAATGTAACCTGAAAGATATCTTTCGATCAATATAATGTATAAAAATAAAAAGTAATTAGTTGAAATAAAAGTATAATAAAATATAATAACAGCGATTTTATTGATTGTCATTGGATGATGACCTGATGGCGGGATCAAACATAGCTGTAGGTCGAGGCCTGCCAGGTGTGGTGATTCCGTAAGGGCAACTCGGGTCATGGTCACAGGCAGTGGAGGAACACCGCGGTGGTTTTAGCCGGTAAGAACCCCCTCCCCCGTTGTCCGCAAGTCGTGGAAAGTCCTTAAGAATTTCCATCAATATAGAAAAAAAAACATGATAAGATATGATTATTAATTAGTCGTCAGTTTCAAGAATATTTTATTAGAAAACAATAATAATTTGGGACTATTAAGCTAACTTTGTTTTAAAAAAATACATAGGTATGATATTAGTCGCATTCCAACAAAATAATATTTTAATCAATCATTCATATCATTCGTCTGTATGTAAGATACCTAACTATCTGTAACACTCTTATTCGAAATTAAAACAAAGATTCACAATGCAACGAAAGATAATAAGTAATCTAAAGTAGAGATTTAATGCCTAATTGAAAAGATAAATAATATAAATGAAATGAGAATTAAGCTATCCCTTATCTAATCATTAATTAATTTTGAACTTAAATACCTACATAAAAAAGTACCGTTTAGGTGAATTTACCTGCAAAGTATATATTTTGTACTCTACTGATATAAGTAAAAGTTTCTACAACATAATAATATAAACAAGTTATACGCCATGTGATAATGGTAGACTATTTTACAGTCGCCACCTCTTCGCCTCCCGCCTGGGCCGTATGTGTCAATAATGATGTTGATCATCATAACTGTTAAAAGTAATCTACATAATGACGAATAACTAACACAACGAAGAGCACCTATCTTATTACCTCACTCAAGCTTTTATTGATTGCATAATTTAATGTGGTTGTGGTTTACCTATGAAGTATGACATTTTTTTTAATTTGTATTGATCAAAGTAATCACCCATTCAATCAATGCATCTTTGCCAGTAGTGGCAGTTGATTGAGGCCCATCCTTAAGAAATGAGGTGGACGGGAAGCAACAAACTCTTCAATGGTATTTTGTACTGCATCTCGGGAATTGCATTTTTTCCCGTCAAGAAGTTATCCAAATTCTGGAAAAAGTAGTAGTCTCTACAAGGTCTAGTGAGTAGGGCGTATGATGGAGAGCTTTCCACAGTTTGTTCGAAAATATGAGGTTGCGCGTTGTCGTGCAGGAGCAACAGTGACGAGCGATTGACCAATGCTGGTTGGAGATATGTTAGCTCTTCTCCATCACTATGTTAAATTCTTCACAGGTATGTAATCAGATAGACGTGTAATCTGCAGTAATACTCTTCTCGTTTGGTTAGAAGCTGTGACGAATCACACCAAACAGTGACCATCACTTTTCTAGGGGTAAGTTTTAAAGCATTGTTTAGGTGCTGCGGTTGCGGTTCAAAATTATTTCATTTGTGAGTCTGTCGAACAGTCTACTACTTGACGCATGCTTTGCGCTGGCGATCATTGTGTGGCACCCATTTGTCATACTTTTTACGTTGCCAATTGGACTTTCGTTGGTAGTGGTGAAGGTTACGCACGTGCTTTTATTGGTACTACGATTGTTGTCAATTTTAGTGATCTTTTTTATAGTGAACTAAATTGATTTTTTTTAATTTTGTGCTGTGTAATTGTGTGTGTAAGTTTTATTAAGGTATTGTAGTTTTAAGTTTTAATACTTCTTTTTCCTTCCCACCTTTTCCTTACTCTTTAACGATGGACGAGGAGAAGCCCCCTGATCCTCCCGACAAATCGGAATACAGTCCCGTGTTATGTGTCACACTTCCCCACGACAACCAAGATATAGACCTAATGGATTCTGAACCTAATCATAATAGAAAGCGACCTGCAGGCTCTCCTATTATCTCCCGCAACAACCCTCCAAAACTAGCTAAAAGCATAAATGGTAGGCAGTGTTACACGGCTAGAGACAACCCCCCTTATATTATCCATGTTTCGCTCAAGGACTCCCAGACAACTGGTACTACGCTTCACCCAATCAAATTCGGGATGTTCTTGACGAAAAATAATATAAGCAATATAAAAATTGGAGGAGTGAAACGACTAGGTAGAAATAGAGTGTCCGTTGAATTTGTCTCCCACCAAGACGCAAACAGTTTCTTGGTTAACTGTGTTGTAGCTCAGAATTATACCACCTCAATCCCTCAATACAATATAACAAGAATGGGTATTGTAAGAGATGTTCCCATTGAGTGGACAGAGGAAGAAATTATCAGGAACATCAAGGTTCCTGCTGGATGTGGAATTGCTATCAAAGCAAGACGGATGAACCGTAGGGTGTCATCAGAAAATGGTACGGAATGGAAGCCTACCCAAACTGTGGTGCTGACTTTCGATGGGCAAATTCTTCCAAAGAAAGTTTTTTGTTTTTACTCTGCTCTCCCCGTAGAATTGTACACATACCCCACAATACAGTGTTTCAACTGTTGTCGTTTTGGTCACACTCGCACTCTGTGCCGCTCCAAGCCGCGTTGCTTTAGATGTGGTCAGGATCATCCTGGCGATGGATGCTTAGTATCAGAGGAAGTTGCACATTGCATTAATTGCAATGGCAACCACTTTGCTAATAACAGTGCTTGCCCGGAGTTAGGCCGCCAGAAGAGCATTAAGGCTCTGATGGCAGAAAAGGCAATTTCATATGCGGAAGCAAGCCAAGTATTCCCTGCAGTTAAAAAGTCATATGCCGAGGTATCTAAATCCAAATCCACCAATTATATACAAACAACACCAATAAAAAAATCATCCCCACAGAGACTATCTTATAAAAAAACTGTCTTTGTCAAACCTAAATCCCATGCCCCTCTTTCTCCCAGCTACGATAAGAAGGCCCACCAGGCCCTTATCCATGACTACTCATTTTCTCCCTCACAAAACGGTTGCGCTTTCCCTGTGGAATCCGGAACCAATACTCAAAGCTCCAAGAACATATTAGACATAATTTCGAGCATGCTTATGGCAGTGTTATCCAACCCTTCTCAAACCGTACCTGACCACGTCGCCCATAGATTAGCTACCATCTTAGATTATATCTATAACATTCCACCCACTAACAATTCTCCAGTGGAACGTGAGGAGTACTCTTCCCAGGAAGAGTGACTTACTACACCTAATCAACAAATTTAAACCAACTATTTGTGGCATTGCTGAGACATGGCTCCGACCGAATATTAATTTCAGAGTCCCGTGTTTCAGTGTTGTCAGACATGACAGATCTGATGGTTATGGAGGTTGTGCTTTGTTAGTAAGTAACAAAGTACCCTTCTCTCAGATCCCTCTACCCTTCGTTGGCGATGACATAAATGTTGTCGCTGTTAAGGCTGAGGATATAAATATTTTTATGTTTTATATTGCACACCCTCATATTAACCATTTGGCTATAATTAAAAACTTATTAATGTCAGTAAGTGGCCCATTACTTGTAATGGGCGACTTTAACTGCCATCACTTTAGATGGGGTTCAGATACCTGCGACAACATAGGTACCGAGTTAGTAGAAATGTTGGATGAGCTTAACCTATGTGCCATTAATGACGGCAGCCCAACCCGTAGATCTGCATTTGGGCAAAGAAGCAGTTGTGTGGATTTAACCTTCTGCTCAGCTAATATGGCAAGCATGCTGAATTGGAGCTGTTTGAATATGACCTATGGTAGTGATCACTATCCCATAATAATTAAAAACCCTTCTAAATCCACTCCCGATAAATCCCTCCCCCCCCTATTAAAATATCGTTTAGAAAAAGCAGATTGGGACCTGTATTCAAAATTGTTAGACCTTCGCATTTCTTCTCTCCCACTTATTAATACTGAGAATGCTTTGGAGTGTTTTTCAAAGTTTTCGGAGTTGATATCTTCTACAGCTGAAGATTGCTTTCCATTGAAAAACACACCAAAAGGCAAAATCCCGTCCCCTCCTTGGTGGGATAGTGAATGCACTGCCATGATAAGAGCCAGGAATGAGGCCGAAAAGGCATATAACCGAGACATGAACCTGGAAAACCTCTTTAATTTCAAGCGGATGTTGGCTAGGTCAAGGAAACTTTTTAAAAAAAAGAAGAAGCAGGGGTGGCAGAGATTCTGTACGTCCCTGAGCCCGTCCACACCGGTAGCAGCAGTTTGGCAGAGGGTGAAGAGCTTCAGAAACTCCATGAAGCCTCCTTCAATTTCTATCATGCCTGAAGGTCTGAGCCACAATTTCTTCTCCAGTATTGCTCCACTGTATGTTCCCGGTGAGGATGAATTTTGCTTGGGTCATCATGAGGAATCGCTTGACCCACTCGATAGGAATTTCTCCATGGACGAGCTTCAAATGGTTCTAAACCACGTAAAAGACTCCGCACCAGGGATTGATGGGTTCCCCTACTCCTTCTTGGTTAAGGCAGGAGCCAAAACCAAACAGTACTACCTTGACTTGGTCAATTTCTGTCTTGCTTTCGGCTATATTCCTCCTCCCTGGAAGGTTCAGGTTATTATGCCGCTGTTAAAAGCTGGCAAGGATCCTGGTGACCATTCGTCTTACAGACCTATTGCCCTATCGTCCATACTTATAAAAATTTTAGAGCACCTTTTAAAGACCCGGTTGGAATGGTCGATGGAAGGCCGGGGCCTGTTTCCGGCGGCTCAGTTCGGCTTCAGGAAAGGTCTGGGTACGGCTGATAGTGTGGGTACCCTCACGTCAGCTATCCGACTGGCCCTTAGCAGGGATGAGTCGTTGGTGGCAGTCTTTCTGGACGTTTCATCGGCTTATGACTCGGTTCTCCTACCCCTTCTCAGGCAGAAACTGCAAGAGCTGAGAATCCCGAGTAGGATTTGCCAAATTATAGGCTGCATCCTTTCCAACCGTACCCTCCAACTAAGGACTCCTGAGGATGACCCAACACAGAGAACGGCCTGGAGAGGTTTACCTCAGGGGTCTGTCCTTAGTCCCATCCTGTATAATATTTATACTCATGACCTCCCTTCCT